TCTGTTTCTTTGTCCTAAGCATATGAAGGGATAGTGTGGTCAGAGACATGCTCAGCCGAAATCGGTGTTTTTAAAAGATTTTAAAAAAAGTCTTTTTGAATGTGGGGTCTGGTTTTTTGTGACGATAAGTGACAGACGTGATGTTTTTTTATGGATGACCTCCGAAACCCACAGTTATCCAAGGGATGACGGGTAGTCTAGTTGATTTTATTGCTTTTGATTAAATCAATGTTATTTTTTTAACGAATGACAGCGCGTATTTCCACAAGCGTAATACATTTTTTATCTGGCCAAAACAACCATTCATGAAGTACGGCAAACGAAAAACGGCGTGTGGGAAGTCAAAACAGTTATAATCCAATCCAACAACATTAATATTTCTTTAATATCTTTAAACTGGACCAACTTTTCTTTGACCTCCGCGGCGATAAAACACGGCGTCTATTCCACCCACACTGAGCTACTCTTGAATGCCAGACAGGTGTACGTCAAGAACCAAACAAACAGGCGTACTCTGGTTAAAATAGCCACATAAAAGCTTTTCACGCTTGCATACAAAAGGGCTGTTGACAGCGTCTCTTCACGTTAATTTGTACGTAACATTTTTCTGTTTAAAAAGATCCTTTCTTCTACATGTAGAGTTCACTTCCTTCTTAGATAGAATAGCGTATTGGGAAGTTGCAGTTGTAAAGGGCTGCAGTGTTGTACCTGGGGACAATGTATCCCGAAATTTATGCAGTCAGAGGGTCTACACTACCATCATGTTCCTCTCTAATCATTTAGTAGTCCATCATATAGTTCCGACTTAAATTACGCCATCAACGCAGACAAACGATTCGACAGGATGATATCATTCCACTACAATTTTTAATGCACTATAAACATACATTGGACGACTTGAACAAACGATTCAAAGACCTGACTACAATCACGACCTCATCCTAAGACAACAAGAACATACTACCTATCCTTCTTCCCAGGCTACAACGAATCTACATTGAAACACCACCATTCCATGCGTTTATTATATCTTTCGTATCAATAATCGTTCGGATCAACATGCCTGATCGAACACAAATTATAAAATGCAACTAAACTTATACAACGGACTTGGTTAGGACAACTATCTGAACTTGAGCCCGTGTAAATCTTGCAGACATTGGTTCTTCTTACCAGAGGCGTAGCGACCCCTCCCGGTGCCCGGGGACAAACTTTTCGATTTGCACCCCCCCCCCTCGAGATTTCCATTTGCACCCCCCCCTCAAATTTTCGATTTGCACCCCCCTCAACCTTTCTATTTATTTTTCCAACCCATTTTGGCGCCCCCTAAGGTCGGCGACCGGGGAGTGGATTGTCTATAACAAAAATATATAGGCACGGAGAGTGTGTGTGTGAGAGTAGCCTCCCCTTGAATGTTGTGTGCTAGCGGGACAAATTGTGTTAACGAGGCAGTGTGTGAAGCAATGTGGTGTTGTGTCAACATCATGTACCTACTCGTCAGTTTTTCTTCTTGCCATGTGTTTTTGTGATTGATGATACTTATACACCCGTGATACAGATTCTGGTTGTAAATTGTATTTATTTACTATTGTTACACCTGGCCCAAACGAGCCAAAAATACACAAGAAACAAAACACACGCCTCTTTTTTTTCTGTATATTGTACAAAACAACATAAGTGAACGGGAAAATATCTATCAATGGGCAAGTAAGGCACAATCGCACATTTTCTAAAAATAGTATTCTTACTGTAAGACTCGTGATAGATTGGTGATTTCCCCTTCCATTATACTTTATTTGATCTGTTCATTAAATTCGATACACTAATATTTTTTACATATTTCGTGTTAGCTTATATTTTTAGATCGGTTTAAGTTATTCCTTTGTGATGTCTGATTTTTTCAATCATAACAGCTTAACATAGTACAGTAAGTTAGTCTAGATTGACATCTAATGTTAACTAAACTCTAAATTTAACTAAAAAAACTTTGAAATTATTGATAGGTTCCTTCTGTTTGTCAGTCGATAACCGTACAAATCGGCCTCAAAATATTACAGCATTGAATAAATATGAATATATTTGATACAAATGAAAAAGCCCTAGAGCGTGCCACTTCGATGTTATGAAAGACGTTACCGAACATTAATACCTAAATTGTGTTTAGATTTTTATTGATTTTGTTGCATTCAAATTCTTTTTACAAGCTAGGCGAAGGCTGAAGGCGCTATTTCGGCCATACTATAAATTGTATCTAGCCAAACCAGTTTTTTCAGGAAGTTCACTTGAACTCGGTCGGTCGACATAGTCTTGGCGTGGGTCCAAAACGCTAACAATGATTCACATAACTTTAACATATTTACATATGTAATGATAGTATTTTTTACGCTGATCCATGGCTGATTTAATACGTATCGCACGGGAATAGTTGGCTCAGTGACAAAATCTACCCTGAATAAAAAGCCTGCGACCAATAGCCCGAGTCAACAAGCACCTCCACCCCCACCCACCCCCACTCTCCCCACCCTCCCCACACACATATACGCACACCTACACAAATAACCACTGTTTCTAATTTCAAGACCCGGAAGTTCTGGGTGGTAGCAAAAGTCTGGTAACATAGAAAGCTAACTACAGGCAGATGAAGTAGAATTTACCTGATTAAGTCACCTCGGCTTAGGAAATGGATAGTTTGGTCAGCTTTAGGCCCAGCCGTCTTTACCTTCCGTACAATAAGTCATTTACTCATTAAAGCTGGGTCCAACAAACTCGAGGATACGGATTCGAGGCTCACGGGTTAGCAGTGCCTTACGTTTCTAAACATTAATTTACAGTTAAAAGAAATGCAAAGATGTACCACATGACAGAAACAAACTTTAGAATGCAATCGATGTAGCGAGCGTTTGCCCATACACTTGATAGGAATAGGGCTCAGTATACAGAATAGATGAGAAATATTACATCACGAAGAATGTATCATCATCATTTCCCGTTCGTGCCCAAGCTACATGGGTCAGATGAAGTAGAGTTTATCTGCTTCAGAGAACTCGGCATATGCAGGGATAGTGTGGTTAGCCCAGCCGCTTTTATTTTCCTAACGTTAGTTAAATACCCATTAGAGCTGGGTGGAATCAAGGATGTTCGACTGACTTGAACCTGGGTTAGGAATCGTTTTAGCAGTCTAGCACTCTACCGCTACACCAATCCGTCCCCCAAGAAGAATGAGTTGCAACAAAACTATTCCATCACCTATTTAATTTAACAACATGTCTGTAAAAGAGAAGAAGCTGCTCAATAGAAAAAAGTGAACAATAGAAAACCGTACAGACAACATGGATGTTCAAAAAGTAACTTCAGCGGTGTCACTAGGTCAGCATCACCCGGTGAGGACCGCACCCCCACTCCGCCTTGTGACGCTTCTGCATCACGTTAGTGCTTCGTGTTAAAGATGTTCTCTGCATAGTCTACAAGTTTTTGTTCCAATCACTTTTTCAAAAAAAATTAACATTTTAAAAAATTATCATAAGAATAATTTTGCAAATTTGAACCATCAACCATCAACCATACGGTACTCTTGCATACATCACCAAAAACTTTACTCCTAAAGAAAACGAACACTTTATAACTAAGTTTACAATTGAATCTCACACTATTGATATTTATTATTTTATCTTACTGCTGATCAATTTTGGATGAGACTTAAAATGAATACATAACATCTATACATAATAGATACATAATAATAATTTATAAGTTTTGAAAATTTTGTATTTTTAAATACTATTTTGTAAAAATGAGGCCAAAGCCAGCTGCCCAACAATGCTAAAAGAACTTAGAACGTAGGTCTCGAGCCCTTGAACCGATGTGTAAAGGAGTGCTCTATTTCTGCATTACGTCGCCCCACAAATGTTGCAGTTGTAGGCCTACATGCGTTTATTAAACGTAATTGCTATGAAAAAGTGTTTGTAAGACTAATTAAAATACTATTCTACATCAAATGTACACAATAGTGTTCCTACCATTGTAGTTTTTTTTTTAAATACCTCAAATATAATATACATTTTAAAATAGATTTGATTTTTTTATTACTATGCTATGCTACTAATTATTTTAAACTGATATTTTTTCTAAAACAAAATAGCTAGGTTTTTTTAAATTCATTATTGATTATAATTTTAACTTTTAAAACAATCCTATTCAAGAATTTTTTTTACAATGCATTTCATAGAAATAGCAAATTAGCAAAATAGAAACACTGGTAGTTTCTGTTTTTACCCATGCTTTACTAGATGAAAATTCATTTGAATTATTTGTTAACAAAAAAAACATAATCCAACCTACAAAGAAAATATAAAAAAATGCTTTTAAAAATTATAATACAATAATTGAATCATGATAAGAAAACAAAGACTAAACTCATTTTTCCTGCGCAAATCTACAGTTTTCGAAAAATAACATGCATACTTATGATTGCCTTTTGTCTAAAATATGTAACTTTTCATTTCGAAAAGCAAATAATTTAGTAATTATTAATTTTGTTATCGAGATATAATTCCATTTCAATTAATACATTTTTTCTTATAAATGAGCATAAAAATTATCCCTGGCATGATCTAAGACTTTAAAAATGCCATCATCTCTTATTACAGATTTAACTAGCTTTAAAAACGATCTTTCTTGCATTCTTCCTTCAAAGTGATAAGCATTTCCAATTCCATACCATCCGCGGCGAATTTCTTCTCGCTCTCTATTCGTAGTTTCTCCAATTTTCTTTTATATTCATCAACGTCTTTCTTTAGCTTGCCAATATTGTTTTTTTCTGTTTGATCACCTGAGTTGCTGGTCTTTTTAATCATACATTCTTCTGTAACACTTTTTTCTAAGCTAGGCAACTTGTCTTGTTTTTCTTTAAACACTTTGGTTTGTGCGGTCAACTCGTGTACGTTTTCTGCCTCCTCACCCCTCCCTCCCCCCCCCCCCCCCCCCAGAAAATGATGTATGAAACAAACAGTGGTAGATAGTCTTTTTATCCTTGGTTTATCAGTTAAAAATTAAATTCAACTGCTTGTTTGTAAATTATTACCGCAAATAAATATTACTGTAATACAATGATTAAAGCTTAATTACAATTAAAAAGCTATTTTTATTGTATCCTGTGCAATTCCCTCAGATTTGCAGTCAGAGTAAAAGCTATCACAGGCTTTTATCTAAAATATGAAACCTAATTTTAAAGCGACTATTTTAGTGATGAACAATTTTGCCAATCCAGAGATATTTCAATTTCAATTACTACCGTTTTTCCGGTAACTGAACATAACTACGTTTAGTCTGCAGGAATTTCCTTGAAAATTTTAATCATTTCCCAGATTTGCAGTCAGAGTCAAACATCATTATATTTTATCTAAAATATGAAACCTATATTTAAAGCAACTGTTTAAGTAATCAATACTTTTACTAATCCGGAGATAATTTAATTTAAATTGCAACCGTTTAGTCTGCAGCCATTTCCTTGATAATGTTCATCAGTTCAAGTATTGTATGTTTATGATCTAGAATAAAAATGCCAGCAGCTTTTATTATAGATTTTATTTGCATGAAAAAATTATCGATGCAATCGTCCTTCAACATTATACGGCTTATTTCCAATTTAATCTTATCCGTGGCGAATATCTCCGAAATTTCGGCTCTTAGCTGATCTCTTTTCATTTTATATTTCTCTATGGCCTGCGTTTCCTTTTCCAGGTTTTTTTTCTGTTTCATCACATGCGCAAATGTTCTTCTTAATGCTATACTCTTCTGTAACTCATTTTCTAAGCGGGGCAACTTGTTTTGTTTCTCTTTAATCGTTTTTTGTAGCTCGATTAAGTCAATGTATGCTTTTTTACGTTCATTCACACATATTTCAGTGTCCTCTATAAGTTTCCTGACGGATTGAAGAGCTCGGTCTTCATTTTGTGTTTCATTAACCTCAACATGAAGAATGTTTACCCTTTGCTCAAGTTTTTCGATTGAAACCAGTTTGTCATTTTCGTCAGTTAATTCGTCGCTTTTGTAGATGGCTTGTAGTATCAAACTTAGCTCTTGTAGTATCGGTTTTTTTACTACTGGTATAACAGACGATTTAATGATTTCCCAGAATAATAATTCAGCTCTATAAAAGTGTTCATTCGTGTATCTTTTACCGCCATTTTTAAGCTTGTCTACCATTGCAATTAGCTCTTTCACTTGTTTGTGTTTCACATTTTCATCGTGGGTTATGTTATTAAAAACAACAATTCTGTTGTTGCATTCTTCTAAAATTTGCTTGAAAGGACCTTGTTCATCGGCGCAGAATTTTTCTAGACTCAGTCCTTCTTCTTGACAATGGTGCTCAAAAGTGTCGCCGTTTGACATGACAATTATGCCGTAGTCCTTTAAAAAATTGTCTCCTAATATTCCTTTCAATATCTCAACAGTTCCCTGTTCTTCTGGTGTAAAGAGTGTCGCAAATTTTATCACTACTAAAAATGCGTGATAACCTTTTGGGTTAGCCAACATGGCTTCTTGTAAAGAAGATTGGACAAGGATTACTCCTTCTGTTTCATTAGCATAAGTATCAATTAAGCCAGGGGAGTCAACCACTTGTATTACTCTGTCTTCAAACTCTGTCCATTCATACTTAGGTGCTTTAGTAACAGATCGTGTTGTATAGCCAACGTTAAAGCTCCTCGGTCTTCCTAAAATTGAGTTTCCTGTTGAACTTTTCCCACTTCCTGTTTTACCGACCAAAATAAGATCTAGACTTGACACTTGCTCTTCAGCCATTTTATCTGGAAAGAAAACAAATTTTCAATATTAGCCTAAAAATGTTCTGAGATTTATTAAATTCAAATAAAGTATAAGCAAACTTAAATAACAAAAAGAAAATTATTTTTGGATAATTACATGATATAAATTTTTCGACTGATGAAGATATGAAAACGTAAGCAAAATATATGGTTTAAGAATTATTTAAGAAAAAGCTTACTGCATTCCTGCAACTTGAAAACAATTACTGTTCATTTTTCGTGAGAACGAAAAAACAGTTTTGAAAAATATACTAGAACCTAGCCTTCAAATAGAGCTGTTAAAGACGTTTATAATTTTTCAAAGATATCTCACCTGCATTTAAATGTTGTAGACATTTCTCCATCATTACCATGTCAGATTCACGTTTAAGTTCCATAAATTCTTTTTCCAGACTCTTTAACTCTTTTTTAAAATCGACGTCTGCTTTATCAGCTTCAGCTGTCATTGATGAAGTGTACCCTGCTTTGTTGATCTGTCTTCTCATACCTGTGGTATTTGGACTTCCTTCATCCGGATTGTTTAATGTGATATTAGTTTCAGCTTGTTCATTCTCCAGCATGTCGACCGGTGCTCTCCTGTTTTTTGCTTTACTTCTGGGAAATTTGGTTTTAGAATTGAATCTATTTCGAGATTTGGATGGCTCTTTTGTCGTTTCTTTTTGTGTTGTAGCATTACAATCTCGTAGATTAATTGAGCAATTGTATATCTTATGTTCATCTAACATACTAGACGTTGAATGTGGTGCGTCAGATTCTCTCAATTTAACTCTTATATTTGTGTCTTCAATTGTATCCTTTACAGCTTCAGCACAAGTTGTTTGTTGCTTCTTCTCAATTACATCGGGTAAGCTATTTTCTTTTGTTAACATCCTAATGTTGTCTTCCAGAAGTTTTTGAGTAGTTTCTATGCTTTTCCTAAATTTACTGAACGTTCCGGATCCTTTGTCTTTTTCTACAATTTCTTTAACTAGCTTCTTAATATTTTCATGCAATTCTAATAAAATTTTTAACTGCTCTTTTACAGACAATATTTTTTTACTTTCAAACATTCGCTGCAAAATAATCCCTTGGACAATTATCATTCTCTTCTCCAACATCGGGTCGGGCGATATCGATGCCACAGCTTTTTGTATCCGTTCTGCCTTTTGAAAGTCGTCATTTGTGTAGCATTTACCATCGGCGTGTAGGGTGTCGACCATCTCAACTAACCTTTCAACTTGCTTTATTTTAACTTCCTCGACTTTCGTTACGTTATTAAAAAGAAGAACTCTATTTTTACAATTTTCAAGAAGCTCTTTAAATGGACCGGTTTCTTCCTTACAATATTGTTCAAAGGTGATTTTTTCTTCAGCACTTATATAATCAAACGTGTCCCCGTTACACACTACCACAATACCATGGGATTCAATTATATCATCTCCCAAAATGCCTTTCATAATCTCGATACACTGTTGTTCTTCTCTAGTAAAACGGTTACCAAATTTAACCACAATAAGAAAAGCGTGGTATCCTGATGGATTAGCTAAGATAGCATTCTGCAACGCTTCTTTAACAAGGTCTACACCACCTTTCTTGGCAAGGTCCGTGTCTAGAACACCCGGACAATCTACAACTTGAATCACTCTATCCTGGAAATGAGTTACCTCGTATTGAGGATATTTTGTTATCGAGGTCGTGTTGTAGCTTGACTTAAATAATCTCGAGTGACGCAGTATGGAATTTCCTGTGGCACTTTTTCCATTTCCAGTTTTACCTATGAGAATTAGATTCATTTGTTTGGGGGACGCCATTAGAGCTGAAAAGTATTGTTTTATATTTTACTAGCAAATTATACCTTTAGAATTGGAGTATGTATAAGATTGGCTAAGCACAGTAATTATACTATAATTCTAACACGTAATTCAATTTATTATGTATGACTTGAGTGAGTGCCCAATGCAATTACTTATTTATTTTTATTAGTGAATGCTATCAGACAACATTTTGTAAAATCTTCATTCACAAAAAAAGCGTTAACAATAGTTTATACTTTTAAACAAGTCACATCAGGCAGCGTTCGGTAAAAATACTTACACCATCGATTCTTTCTTTGAAAATTTAAAGGAAGAATCGATGGTCTAATCGTTCTTCAGGCTGTTCAAATTTTAGATACAGTTTATCCCAAACTAAGCTGTTAATTTTAAGACAAGCTCAACTTTTTATCATCATAGGTCGTTCACGCTAAGCTTCTCAATAGACCATTATATATATATATATATATATATATATATATATATATATATATATATATATATATATATATATATATATATATATATATATATAAATTTGTATATAATATTAAGTGTTTAAATGTTTATCAGCCGACTGGTTAATATTAAATCATTATCATAATGCGAAAACTTGACTTCAATATAGTGTATAGACGTTATCTACCTTTTTTTCCAATTTAATTTAAGCAATTTAACAATAATCTGTCAGACCACAGATTCCAAACCAACGGATAATGTAATGTACTTACTCTGTTAATATATTATTAAACTCTAAACTGAAATCAAAACACTAAATTCTAATCTTAAGAATTCTTACTGTGTCAATGAGTTTTTAAACTGTTACCAAAACACCAATTTCTAAACATATGAATGGTGTACTTACTTTATTAATAGAATATTAAACTCTAGACTAAATAAATTTTAACATGTGTCAATGACGTGAGTTCAACGTCTTTATTTAAAGACTGAAGAAAATTAGTCTACTTACAACTCTATTTCAACTTGTCTAGAACGTTTCACTAATATTGTCACATCGACGTAGTGTCACTATTAACTGCGAGTCAACAACCAAACAAAATATTTCTCTCAAACTTGATATTAGATTGATTAGTTTCGTGTCCAAAAGAAAAATACTATATTTAATTATCGATTTCACACAGGATGTGTAATACAGCTGGATTATGTTTCGTCTCAAACGAATGGAAACATTTTCATAAAAGCTCGAACCGCTGCATTCAATTGAACGAATTATTTAAAAGCCTATTGAAATGCAAACATTTATGGTAGTGCTTCTTCCTACTAAGCCTGCTAATTGCGATATTGAGTTTTATGTATGTTCTAGTTATATTATCCTACATTCAAAATGAAAGTGTATGATTAGATTAATAAATATATGCATAATTATTTTCTCCTACGTACGTGCTTGGGAGTAATAATTATTATTGTGATTATTGTAATTTTTTATCTGCAGAAATCTTCTATGGAGTATTCTCATCTACTCCCGAAAACTTCATGACACTCGAATGAACGATGTCGAACCGCATACGACTTCTTTTTTTTAATAACCAATTTTAAGAGAAATAGCACACTCCCATGGCGCTGCCCTTGCGAAATTAAAAAAGAGTTTTTTGCAGAAACATTACCCTGAAGTGTTCTAATCAACACCCCAAATGTTCATACTGATCGGATGAACGATGTCAAACCGCAATCGACTTTTATTTTATGTACCGTATATAGAGAATAATCCAATCGCGCGCTGCCGGGGCGCCACCCCTTCAAATTTTATTTTTCATTTTGCAGAAACATATCCAGGAGTACGCTCAAAAACTTCGAAGTTTCATGACGATTGAATAAAAGGTTGAGTAATGCATAAAAGACAAATAAACAAACAGTGTGTGTGTGCGTGTGGGTGTGTGTTTATGTGTGTTTATGTGTGTTTGTGTGTTTTAATGGAACGTTATTTATTTTAAAATAGTTGAGCTCTATTTCCTATTGGCTTAAGGCTTCTTTTAACAATATCGGCACATTTATTATTTAGTGTCCACTTTCTTAACATCACAAACGAAAACCTTTTGTTTAAAAATCAGGTCAAATGTGTTTTCTTTGGAAGATATTCTGAGTCCATTCCTGGTCAAAACATTAACTTTAGATATAAATGTATTCATTTGATGTTTAATAATAACAACATCTTCACTGACTTCTATTAGAACGATTTGTTATATACTGACTTTACCTATAGGGCTGGTAAATAGGTCACCAACCAGCTCTACTGCTCAATAAAACCTGCATGAGCCATAGAGCTGGTTGGTGACCTACTTACCAGCCCTATAATACTTTACCCACTGGTTTTTCCTTGAAAATTTCCAGCTGACAATTACTTTTCCAACCTTTTGATTAACTCCCTGTTGTTGTGGATGGAATCTTGCGATCAAAATTAAATTATTTTTTACCAACACAACACACTGATCAATATCCGATGACACTGCAAAATGGCATTAACTATGTGATAATCAAACTTTATATTTTTTCGTTATTTTTCATGGCCTATGGTTTTATTGGGTAAAGCTAATGAGATTAATTTTCTTATTTTCAATGCATCTAAAAGCATATTAAAAATATTAAAAACTAACCACTTAAAAGAAATGGAATTAAGATTAGAAAACTAAGACAAGTAGACAGGTTCATAAACACTGGGCGTGTGACTAATGTGACAGGAGTAATAGACGCCTAATAGACGTAGACATACATGTATTTGCCCATCATAAGGCCATCCTGGATATAGTCTCACAAAAAAATGAATGAGAATAATTTGCTTCAACGCTTAATTGTCTTGTTCTATTGTTCCTTGACACAGAGAACAAACAATTAAAAAAATGAACAAAAAATACAGACGCTTATAAATAATTTCCTTATGAGTATGCTAAAAATAAAGTGGCGGGACAATTTAGAAAATGCTAAATTATGGAAGTTTTGAGAAAGTTAAATAATAGAAAGACAAGTCCTGGAAAGAAAATGGTGATAACCACAACCACAAGAAAAACCAAAACAGAAACGCAAACCTAACGCTAACGCTAACACAAACCAAAACACAAACACAAAAGTAAACACAAACACAAACGCAAACACAAATTTAAAAGCAAACACAAACGCAAACACAAATATGAAAAGCAAACACAAACACAAATGCAAACACAAACATAAAAGAAAACACAAATGCAATCACAAATAATAGTGCAGACACAAGCATAGTCATAAGCGCAAACATAAACACGAAAATAAACACAAGCATAAACGCCAAAATAAAAGTAAACGTAAACAAAAGCCCAAATGCTAATAATTAAGTAGAAAATGATTAATTAAACGCAAACATAAACACAAACTTAAACGAAAATATAGACTCAAATATAAACGCAAACATAAACGCAAACAACACAAAAGTAAAAGAATACATAAACACAACTTAATCAAAATATAAACGTGAACATAAACATGAACTTAAACGCAAAATAAACGCATAATGCTCACAGTAGAGCACTTGATTCAATTTAATAAACGGCTTCTACCCCATTTTATCCACAGTCTGAACCTTAGGCTCATTGTTGTTCAGGGGCTCCAAATAGCACACTGTCGCGACGCCAGAGAAAGCCCTGGAATCGATTTAGCGAACGACTAGAGTAACCATTCGTATCCAAAGCCTATCGCATTCTTGAAAACGAACAGATGCACTATATCGCTCATTTGATAGCCCGCTATCGCCGGCCTACGCGTCTGGTTTTATTTATTGTAAAAATATAATACCACATCTTATCTGCAAAAGGAAAGCTAAAAGTAAACATAGAAGACAATAAGAAACGGCTTTTAATATGTTATTGAATATAAATAATTAGTTAACCGTACGCTCATAAAATAAATAAAAGGTAGTATTTAAAATACCCGTATTTTTTTTTACTACATTGCACTTTTTAAATCCATGCTAATTATTTTTTCCGATTAAAAAAAAATAAAATAAAAAAGATAATTTTTCTTTCCGATGTAATTATTTTTTTTAATTTAAAGGTAAGTCATTAGTATAATGAGACGTAATGTGTATACTTTTTTTAAAAAACAAAATTGGAATTTTCATAAATGGTAATAACTTTATTTTAATTGTGTTCTTTGCACTTTACGTCGCTCAAAAGGCATATAGTCCATTTGAGCTTTATATATTAGATTGCCTATCTTACCACGTGTTTCGTCGAACGTGTCGCTTTACGACAAACAGGACAAGCTAGAAATATCAGTTAACCAGCTTGGGGGCGTTTGAAGTTGGTGGGGTTGGGGTATCGAATTTGCTGGTTAAAACAAATTGTATTAATATCTTTCAATACCTTGTACTGGACCAATTTATTTTTACACCCGTGGCAATAAAATACAAGACGTCGATTTCGAGTCCGTCCACGCTTGACTACTTTTTAAAGTCAAGAAACAAACAAAACAGCGTACAAAGTTCTAGTTAAACATACACTATAAAGCCTATTCACTTCAATCTGTCAAAGAGCTGTTGAAAGCGGCTTTTTAGTCTCTTTAAAATTTCTCTGTTTAAAAAGATCATTTGTAAAGACTTTACTTCCTTCTTATATTGAACCGCGTCTTTTTGAAGTTTTCAGCAGTAGACACAAGCGTCTTTATTCTGTATTAGTACATACAACACTTCAACAGTGACACTGCGATCTAGAGCCGAAATACCTAGCCAATAAAAAATGTCATCATAAATTATTTCACGATTAAATCTCCATATATTGGGGATTTACCCTTTCATTACACTTGTTTTGATATGTTTAATGACTTCCAATATTTTACGGCATACTGGGAAGTTGTAATGGCTTGTCCTATTCTTTTGAAAGCTCTTAGGAGCAAAGAACTACATCTACACTTCAACGCTGGACTGTTTGGTACAACTCTCTTTAGTTGTGCCCATGTTAGTTGTGCCCATGTAAGTTCTGCAACCCATGCTTCTCCTACCAAATTCCTTCTTCAGGATTGTTTAATCCGGCCCACTTTTCTTCTCGCCTTCCAGGGCAGCCTTTGCCTCGCGATGTTAATATATTCTCTTTTCTTTTCCATTCCACTTGAGAAGTTGATGGAAAGTTCATAATTAGAGTTTTTAGGTCTTCGATGTGGATGGTGGAGAGATACTCCGGTCTTTATTCGTAATTGGTACAAACAACATTAACGAACAGTGACACAATTACCTACATACTAAGCGACCCTGTCAAAAACATTTACAAAAATTATTTCAAGTGCACAGCTCTCAAGGTCGAGATAGTTTAGTTATTTCCCTGCCATTAAACTTATTTTGATCTGTTAAATTCCTTCCAACACGTTAATGTTTTTATATAATGTGTGTTAGCTGACGTGTTTTAGGTCGGTTTATGTTTCTTTCTGCCACATAAGTTTGATTACTTCCATCATTAACATTTCAGCATAGGGTTCGTCCATAAATGACGTCATACACGTAGGGGGAGGGGGAGTCCGTAGTTTTGTGATGATGTGTGATGAGGAGGAGGGGGGGGGGGGGGTTCAGATGGTGCGACGTCACACTTTGCATTATAAAAAAGCAATGTTAGAAAATGAATTTTAGACGTTATTTCGCGTTTTAGAAAACTGTTTTAAAAAATTGTAATAGGAATTGATTAGAATACTCTATTTTTACAAAGTTCAGACACGATTTTAGAAAAATATCGATGTTTTAAAAAAAATTCAACAGCAATTTTGAGGGTGGTTGTAGGTTGAGGTGTGACGTCATTTTAGGGGGGGGGTCTGGCTTTTTGTGACGATGTGTGACGGAGGGGAGGGGGAAGGTAAAAAAACGTCCAAAAAAGCGTGACGTTATTTATGGATGACCCCATAGTACAGTTAACTAGTCTAGATTATTTGTTAACGTTAACTAAAAAATTTGAAATCGTTGAAAAGCTCATCTGTTTGTATATCACACAACCGCCAAAAAAGGGTTTTAAATTCCAACCAATGAAACATACGAATATATTTGATACACATGTTAAAAAACGAGAGAGTGCCACTTCAATGTTATGAAAGAATTTACTAAACATATTTTACCTATTAGGCTTTAAGATTTTTATTGATTTTTTTTTTAAATTGTTGTTACAAACTAGGCCACGGCTGAAGGCGCTATTTCGGCCATACCATACATTGTATCTAGCCAAACCAGTTATTCAGGAAGTTCAATTAAACTCAGTAGGTCGTCTTATTCTTTAAGTGGAGCCAAACTGCCAAGAATAATTGATACAATGTTAGCCAGTTAGCCACTGGTCGTAGCTAGGATTTTCGGGCCCCATTGCAAAAAAAAATCAGTTGGCCCCTTCGTGAGCCTTTAGGATACAACAGATTTTTTAACATGTGCAGCAAAGAAATCGAATGCTACCTACGATGGAGGGTTTTAAATATATACATATTCTGTACATTTTGTATTTTATACGTTGTGATTGTGTATTTTTACTATATTATTATGTTGGCCTGCTACTACCCCGTCGGTTTAGTAACAGTGCAGTTAATTTGTTTTTTTAAATAACAAAACACAGTAACACAGTAACGTCACAAGGCGCAGTCCGCATAGGTTGACAACATTTAGGCGTGACACCATGACAAACAATTATACAATTTATTGTAAAAGTTTAGTGAGCGAGGCGTGGCACCCCATCAAAAATGCAAAATTGTTTGGGGCGATGGGGTGACACCATTGGTAAACGCGTAGGGTAACACCCGACCTTGTGACGCCACTAACCAAACACATTTTTTTAAAAACTCTCATGATTGATCGAGATCTGTTTTTTATGTTTTTAATTATGCAAAATGATTAATAAGTTCAATGATATCCATTTTAGCTGTTGCTGTATGTTCAATACTTAGGATGGCCAAGACTAACCCAATAGGCGTATCTACAATTTGTTTCATAACAAATTAATATCAACATAACGAGAAAATAATGAGATTTAAAAATTTCATCACAAATATCCAAATCTCATTCCCGACCACATTGGAATGTCAAAAAATGTTTAAACGTAATTAGCGTACCCGTCCGCGTTGCTGCTAATGCTATCTAGTGAATTAGTCCCACTTACCAGGGCAACAAAACAATTTGTAAAAGTTTCATAAACGTGTTACCAACTGTGTATTTTTAGGCGCGTGGCCCTCTTTTCTAAACTGAGATAGTAAAAAATTAAACAACGTCGCTGCTACTTTTTAGGATCTTTGTTGCGGGGGCGCGGATTTATCCAAACTATCGCTCAGACGCCCTTGGTAATGCTGTATGAAAGCATTGAGTGTACGTTAATCATCCTTCTTAAGAGTGAGGTTGAATACATTTCGGCGACCGCCTAGATGTCAGGGGCGTTGCAGCAGTTACTGGTTACAGTAGCAGGTTCGCTTTAACCATCAAACGTAGAGGCCCACTGTGTCACTGATGTAGGCTACTCTTGTCATTGGTGTCCTCCGTACGCCGGGGGTGTCAAAGGCCGCACCTGTTGACGTTTGATTGTTGAATAAGTAGTGATTCCCAATCAACGGATCCCTTTCACTCAGTAGGCCTCTGAGTAACTCGGAGGGGGGTGGGGGGTGGCAACCGTTAATTTTGCTAATGCGCTGGAGGGCACTCCTTGTTCGATTTAGTAATCGATTTTATTAGCACTCCATATCCCTAGTGTATGGCGCAATTTGAAAACGAACATAGGCACCGTAATGTTCATTGGGAAATCCGGGGCGCACCGAGTCATATGACCGCCGGGGCGCCAGCTAATGTGCCTGTGTAATTTTGACAGCTGAATGAAATAGTAACGCTGACCCGATGTGCCGACCACCTAATCAACAGACCCCATGTGCAAAGATAGCCACTATGAAACTCTGAATGGCAAACCACACCGCTTTACTGTCGGAGCGCCACCCTCCGAAATAAAATAAAATTTTAATGTCAGAAACCATCCCAAAAGACAGTTTCAGTCAGGCACCTTTTCAGAAAAATGTCTGTGGAAAAAAACACAACCTGTAGTATTCTCAAAGACCTCCCAAATTTTATTAGCGATTAGATGTAAACCAAAAACTTATAGTGTTAGTAGCGCTAAATTGATTAATTAGATCAAGGGTCTCCAAACTTTTCAGCCCGAGGGCCACATTGACTATCGAAAATCAGTTCGGGGGCCAGAGTTTCTTCCATGCATCTCTTTAGGGTGGCGGTGTCCCCGTGCCCCCCCCCCCATGGAACCGCTATCCATTGACTCATCCATTGCAATTAAAAATTGCAAAACTTGTTAGCAGTTTTCACTATTTGAGTCACAATGTTTTCATCAATGTCTGCAAGCCGGATAAGAATTGTTTTGAATTTTCTAGGCAAACTTCCTAAGCCACTTCTAACAAACATTTTTTTCCGTGAACAAAACGATCTCCGCGGGCCGGATAAGAGGACCTCGCGGACTTCACCGGGCCCGCGGGCCGCAGTTTGGACACCCCTGGATTAGATCAACAAATGAAATGTTATTAAGGTAAAAATCTGTAGTAAAACTTTGACAAATGTTTTACTTATCTTGTTGTAAAAACACTGCCCATGGATGCTATTTTTTAATGGCTGAATTGATATCGTGGATGTTAAGTAGGATCGAATTTCGGGGAGGGCAGACAGATGGGAGGTGCAGGTCTCTAAGGGAGGGGGGTGAAATTCCCCGTCAGTTGAGGTTGGTAGCGATGCATGTAAATTTACGGGTGCCGGATGCCAAAGTGGAAGTTTAGTTATAGGCAATTTCTCTCAATGGCTTCCACGACAATGCGACTACGCCTGAAGTGTTATTATTACGGATGGACCCTGTTCGATTCCCCACCCCCCCCCCCCCCCACACACATTGAAATTCCACTGACAGTACAGTAAGAAAATACTTTTGGAAGATTTCATTATTTCTATAGTAAAAAAGAAACTGGATTTCCTTTTTTTTTTTTAAATTATTTATATAAAACTAATATTAAAATTCCAATTCAAAAGTTTTAATTTTTCTAAAAGATGAAAAAGGGCCCCTATATTCCTTGGGCACCCTATGCCTTGCTTAAGCTAGCTTTACGGTAGCTACGCCACTGATCACAATAGACGAGTCAAGTTTATAAAAAAAAACAGAAAAATTTGTATTATTTGAATACTTCCTGATTCAAGCAGCCTTTAATCTGCTAAACAAGGAAGGTTGCCTACTAAAACATGACAATAACTAACCCGACCATGATGTACACAATAGTTTACGTTTCTGCTCTGTCAGAAGAATTAACTAAATCGCAAATCATGCCTCATTGAAGCATTTTACGTTCTTATAGGAAATGCGTCAATTCGTTTGTGACAAAATATGAATCTGTCGCATTACACATCCTGTTTAAAATCGATATTTAAATCTAGTACTTGATCAGAAACACACAACGCAATCACTCTAATATCAAGTCGGCGTGAAACAGTACGTTTATTTGTTGATTCATAACTAACGGTGACACAACGCAGTGTGTGTATATAGAACAAACCTTTTAGTAGTCACCACTCGGGTGTTTTTTTTCTAAGTTCACTTAGATTTGTAAGTACTTTTTCCTAATTTTATTCAGCCTTTTTACAAAAGCATTGATTTCACGTCATGTTTACGTTTATATTGTGTAGAGTTAATTAGTTTATTAAGAGTAAGTATACAATTAGGCTTGAGTTTGATGTTTAGAGTATGGCTTAAAGTAAACAAATCTTTAAAAATTTAGAGGTTGACCATGTACTGTTAGCTCGTAGAAATATTTTAAAGTAAAAGTTAATACAGTATAGTTAGTGTTTGAATCTGTACACATTTCATTTTATCACAGTTTGCTATGTTAAAATTATATTCATTTTGTAACAATATACATATATATATATATATATATATATATATATATATATATATATATATATATATATATATATATATGTGTGTATATATATATATATATATATATATATATATATATATATATATATATATATATATATATATATATAAATAAATAAATAAAATTAACAATTTAGTTTTGTATGATAAACTAAACATTGGCTAAAATGTTTATGTCAAATGTGATTTTTGAAGGCTACATTTTTTTTTAATTTTTTTTTTTTAAAGTTATAATACCTTGTATTAAACACAATGTTAAAAATAGTAAAATCAACATTCAAAAGAAGAAACTATATTCATATAACTATATTCATATAAAATGCCTAATGTTATGTATTTAGAAGTCTGAACTGTTAATAATAACTTTAATGTAGATAAAGATTAATTGTTATTCAAACGCTGCCTTATGTGCCTTGTTTAATAGTATAAACTAATGTTGATAAGTATAGTCTGAATGAAGTTTGATTAATGTTATCTGACTGCATTTTTCATTTGTTTACTAATCAGTAATATATTACATTACAATGAAGCCACACGTTAGCTAATAAACAGAATTGCGATTTTTATTATTGTTTTTATAGGGCTCATTATATTTAATTTTATAGGTACATACTAAAACTAAGTCCAAAATTTCCTGGTAAAATATTTAACAATACTTTTCAGGACTAATGGAGTCCCCAAAACAAATGAATCTAATTCTCATAGGTAAAACTGGAAATGGAAAAAGTGCCACTGGAAATTCCATACTGCCTCACTCGAGATTATTTAAGTCAAGCTACAACACGACCTCTATAACAAAATATCCTCAATACGAGGTTACTCATTTCCAGGATAGAGTGATCCAAGTTGTAGATTGTCCGGGTGTTCTAGACACGGACCTTGATGAGAAAGGTGGCGAAGACCTTGTTAAAGAAGCGTTGCAGAACGCTATCTTAGCTAACCCATCAGGATACCACGCTTTTCTTATTGTGGTTAAATTTGGTAACCGGTTTACTAGAGAAGAACAACAGTGTATCGAGATTATGAAAGAGATTTTGGGAGATGATATAATTGAATCCCACGGTATTGTGGTAGTGAGTAACGGGGATACGTTTGATTATATAAGTGCTGAAGAAAACATTACCTTTGAAAAATATTGTAAGGAAGAAACCGGTCTATTTAAAAAGCTTCTTAAAAATTGTAATAATAGAGTTGTTCTTTTTAATAACGTAACGAAAGTTGAGGAAGTTAAAGAAAAGCAACTTAAAAAGTTAGTTGAGATGGTCGACGCACTAAACACCGAAGGTAAATGCTACACAAATGACAATTTTCGAAAGGCTGAGCAAATACGAAAAACAGTGTCATCAAAATCGCCTAACCCCGTGGTAGAGAAGAGAATGATAATTGTCCAAGGGATTATTTTGCAGCGAATGTTTGAAAGTAAAAGTATGCAATCTGTGAAAGATCAGTTAGAAATATTATCAAACTTAAATAAAAGTATTAAGAAATTAGTTAAAGAAATTGTGGAAAAAGACAAGGGAATAGGAAAGTTCAGTAAATTTAGAAAAAACGTAGAAGCTACTCAAAAACTGATGGAAAACAAAATTAAAACACTAGAAGAAGGATATAACTTAACAGATTTAATTGAGAAGGAACATCAAATAGCTTGCGTTGAAGGTGTGAAGGATGAAATAGAAGATAGAAATAGTACAGCCAAAAAGAGAGACGATGACAATCCACATTCAGCAGAACAAAAACTTAAAAATTGCTCACCGTATCTTCGAGATTGCAATGTTGAAGCAAGCGACATACAAACAGAAACGCCAAAAGAGCCATTTGAATCTCAAAGTAGTTCCAATACTGAACCTAAAATCCCCAGAGGTAAATCACAAGAAAGGAGAAAACGGGTTAATAATTCCTGCATGATGGAGCAAGAACGAGCTGAAACTAATATCAAAACAAACGATCTGGATGCAGAAAGTCCAAATACCACAAGTATGAAAAGACAGATCAACAAAGCGGGGTACACTTCATTAATGACTGCTGAAGCTGATAACGCTGATGTTGATTTTGAAAAAGAGTTAAAGATTCTGGAAAAAGAATTTATGGAACTTAAACGTGAATCTGACATGGGAATCATAGATAGATGTCTAAAACATTTAAAAGCAGTTGGGAATTTATTTGTTTGATAGATTACGCTAGCCGTTTAACATCTAAATTTTCAGTGATTTTATATACTAAAAATCTAATATAATTTATTTTATATTAATAAAAATAAAAATAATAACTAATATTGTACATAATGAATTTTCCTAGTCTTTATTGAAAACAATTTACTTTTCCGATTTGTAAAATATGTAATTAAAAATTAAGAATTGTATTAGCAATTTTCATAGTACTTAAACTCGTTACATTTTTTTTTGTTTTTTTCTGTTGTTGTTTTTTTTTCTCTTTTTTTTTTGTAGTCAGAAAAAAATTAAAAATCAAACACTTTTGTTAAGTTATATTATTTGGTTTTTCAATTTTTTTCACATAAAACATGAACAGTCATGCTACACATGTTGCAGGAAAGCAATAAGCGTCTTTAAAGCTTTATCATTATTTTCTTTTTCTTTTATTTTTTTGAAAAATAAAAACATGTACTTCTTGTGGTTATTAAATTGATTTAAGTTTGTATTTTTGTTTGTAAGTTTGTTTAAAAAACGTCGTGTGTTTCTTTTCTTTTATTTGACAATGATTTTGGGCAGTTCTCGAAAATTTGCTTCCTTTCCAGGTAAAAATGGCTCATATTGAGCGAGAATCAAGTCTTGATCTGGTTTTGGTCGGTAAAACAGGAAGTGGTAAAAGTTCAACAGGAAACTCAATTTTAGGAAGACCGAGGAGCTTTAACGTTGGCTATACAACGCGATCTGTTACTAAAGCACCTAAGTATGAATGGACAGAATTTGAAGACAGAGTAATACAAGTGGTTGACTCCCCTGGCTTAATTGATACTTATGCTAATGAAACAGAAGGAGTAATCCTTGTCCAATCTTCTTTACAAGAAGCCATGTTGGCTAACCCAAAAGGTTATCACGCATTTTTAGTAGTGATAAAATTTGCGACACGCTTTACGCCAGAAGAACAGGGTCCTGTTGAGATATTGAAAGGAATATTAGGAGAAAATTTTTTAAAGGACTACGGCATAATTGTCATGTCAAACGGCGACACTTTTGAGCACCACTGTCAAGAAGATGGACTGAGTCTAGAGAAATTCTGCGACGATGAACAAGGTCCTTTCAAGCAAATTTTAGAAGAATGCAACAACAGAATTGTTGTTTTTAATAACATAACCCACGATGAAAATGTGAAACACAAACAAGTGAAAGAGCTAATTGCAATGGTAGACAAGCTTAAAAATGGTGGTAAAAGATACACGAATGAACACTTTTATAGAGCTGAATTATTATTCTGGGAAATCATTAAATCGTCTGTTATACCAGTAGTAAAAAAACCGATACTACAAGAGCTAAGTTTGATACTACAAGCCATCAACAAAAGCGACGAATTAACTGACGAAAATGACAAACTGGTTTCAATCGAAAAACTTGAGCAAAGGGTAAAAATTCTTCATGTTGAGGTTAATGAAACACAAAATGAAGACCGAGCTCTTCAATCCGTCAGGAAACTTATAAAGGACACTGAAATATGTGTGAATGAACGTAAAAAAGCATACATTGACTTAATCGAGCTACAAAAAAAGATTAAAGGGAAACAAAACAAGTTGCCCCGCTTAGAAAATGAGTTACAGAAGAGTATAGCATTAAGAAGAACATTTGCGCATGTAATGAAACAGAAAAAAAACCTGGAAAAGGAAACGCAGGCCATAGAGGAATATAAAATGAAAATAGATCAGCTAAGAGCCGAAATTTCGGAGATATTCGCCACGGATAAGATTAAATTGGAAATAAGCCGTATAATGTTGAAGGACGATTGCATCGATAATTTTTTCATGCAAATAAAATCTATAATAAAAGCTGCTGGCAGTTTTATTCTAGATCATAAACATACAATACTTGAACTGATGAACATTATCAAGGAAATGGCTGCAGACTAAACGGTTGCAATTTAAATTAAATTATCTCCGGATTAGTAAAAGTATTGATTACTTAAACAGTTGCTTTAAATATAGGTTTCATATTTTAGATAAAATAAAATGATGTTTGACTCTGACTGCAAATCTGGGAAACTTCACAGGAAACACTTATAGTGGATTTTAAATTTTTAATTGAGCTTTAATCATAATAATATAATATTTATTGGCGGTGATTATTTATATTTGTATTAGAGGTTAAAACCATATAATTATATGTATTATATTTATTAGCATGACAAGCATTTTAATTTAAATTAAACCAAGGGTAGAAAGAAAAACTACAAGTGATTCTTTCATACATTGGGAATGTCAAGTACCCCACTTCACTTTGAATAACGAAAAACAAAGAAAATTAAATGTGTATTAAAAAATAAATTTAAAATATTGTTTCAATAGCCACCTGTCCACCGGAAAACATTTTTGTAACAATTCTTGGAAACTAAATCTATTTCTGATCGTGCAAATACATTTTGTGAAATTAATATTTTCCGATAAGTGAAGTCAGTAAAATATATGTAAAAAGTATGAAGAAAATAAAGCTGATATGAAATTCACGTAAAGATCATAATTTAGTATTCATTGTTATTCATTTCGCGTTAATCAGGGAAAAGTTTTCGTTTTTTCTTGAAATCGTATTGAGATGGTTTTTATTATATTTAATTGAGTTAAACATTCAAAATTAAAATAATAAATAACATGAGCTAAGGTGCCATGAAATATAATCTGATTTGCTATTATTGTAAAATGCAACGAAAATGACCTTAAATGTGATTAAGTTTTAAGTGTAAAGTATAACTAATAGAGAATTTCAACTTCCAACTTTAAAAAAAAACATGAATTTAAAAAAAAAAATTATTATGACAGAATATTTTTTAAATGTTGATCTATTTTTTACAAGCTTTTATTTAACTCACTTCCTCTTCTGTCGTCAGTCGTCAGTCGTCAGTTTATCTGTCTAGATCGAAACGCCCGAACGAAATTGCAGGCACTTCTACCTGAAAGATACGGTTCGTAGTTGGTACGTGGGTCAAGATATGAAGACCATTAACATGACATTAAAATTGGTTGCCTGATAATTTTTTAATTAATTAATTGTCTCATCAAACTATTCCGCGCTATTAGACACGCGTCATCACGTTCAATGGGGCGTCATCACGTTCAATAGGTTCGAAAGGGTTTTTAGTCATGTAACTCTGTTGTAAATAAAATATGTAAATTACGAAAAATAAAATTTCATAAAAAACGTTTTAATAACAAGCTTTCATGTAATAATGCACTAAAAAGGAAAAAATAAATTATACACTACTATTTAAATAACTATAAAGAAAAGCGCGAGTCTCTTCCTTAATATTAGTAAAGGTATCCAATAGATACTAAAGTGACCCACACTATTCTTTTTAGTTATTTAAATAGTAGTGTATAATTTATTTTCTCCTTTTTATTGCATTATTACATAAAAGGTTCTTATTATAAGGGTTTTTTTATGAAATAAAAAAAAATATCTGAAGCATTTTAAAAATACAATATTATTCATAGAAAAGTAAAGTATATATTTATGTAATTTAACTGTAGAATAGTATATTACTTACTTTTACAAAAATGTTTATATAAGTAATTATGTTTTTCATGTTTATATAGTAATATTTTTATGTTTACATGGTAACTATATTTTTTAAACAATTGTAATACTAAAAATGTGTAATACAACGTGGTGCTGTCGTTGAGCCCTCAGTTACTTTCCAACTGACAAGATATCGATTCAACGACTCGAGTGAGTAAGGCGTCCAAGAATTCTTTCAGCTTTTTTGGGCACCATTAGTTTTGGGAAAGAAAAATTATTGAACCTATCTGTATGAGGAAATATTTTAATATTATATTATAACATGGATTATTTGGTCTTAAAGTGAACATAGCTTTGTTTTGTAAGTGACAATAACATTTTATATTCCTATGAAGTTTCAATTTATTAGCGACTTTTTTCAAAAAAATAGGTCAATTTTTAATATTATGTTAAATCATCCTTTATTTGCTTGCTGTGAGGTTTTTTTAGTGTGCTTTTTCAATAAATGAATGTATTTGTAGAATGGTATTCTATTTCAACAAATTTGTGCACCTAGATCTTTACATGTTTATATTTTTGCATCAATTAAAATGTCAAACTATTTAACGTCATATTTGTGAATGTATGTTCTCTATATTTAAAAAAAAATCAAAGTTTTTGAACTCATCCTTACAGAACATTATTAAAAATATAACATTTCATAATTTACAATAAAATTATCTATAATAATAGTTTCGCTGTCTGTCTGACAAGAACCCTCTGTCTGACAAGAACGCTCTGTCTCTATAATAATAGCTTCGCTGTCTGTCTGACAAGAACGCTCTGTCTGACAAGAACGCTCTGTCTGACAAGAACGCTCTAGAGACAACACAAGCAATTTAAAAACATGCACAGTAATTCGAAAAACGGGGGGGGTGGTGTGTGGGGGTGGGGGGGTGGGGGTGGTGTGTGGGGGGGTGGGTTGGTTTCAGTGTTTCTTTCAGACTTTTTCCTCCCCGGAGAGGGATGGGGGTACTTGAAATTTTCGGGGGCGGGGGTAGATATTTCTGGGAGGGGGCGGACACTGGAAAAAGTATATAATTATATTTCGTTGAATGGGACGGTAGACATGTTTTTTTTTGGGGGTGGGGGTGGTGGAGGGGTGGGGGGGTGGTGTGTGTGTGGGGGGGGGGGGTGGGGGGTGGTGTGTGTGGGGGTGGGGGTGGGGGGTGGCGTGTGGGGGGGGTGGGGGGTGGTGTGTGGGGGGGGGTTGGTTGGTTTCAGTGTTTCTTTCAGACTTTTTCCTCCCCGGAGAGGGGTGGGGGTACTTGAAATTTTCGGGGGCGGGGGTAGAATTTTCTGGGAGGGGGCGGACACTGGAAAAAGTATATAATTATATTTCGTTGAATGGGACGGTAGACATGTTTTTTTTGGGTGGGTGGGGGGTGGGGGGGGCGGTGTGTGGAGGGGGTGGTGTGTGGGGGTGAGGGGTGGGGGTGGGGGTGGTGTGTGGT